TTGTTCTTTTAGTGTAATAATCCTTTTAACAACTTTTCTTAATTAACTTCTTGATGTTTCTAAAATGTGTCAAGACCAATAATTCTTGTATCCGAATCTACTTATTCATTTCTGTTGAATTACGAATTTAAGTATAATGTATCTTCTAATCTTTCATTGTATAGTATTCTGCAGGTAATTCTTTAAGAACTTCATCCCAGCTTTGTTCTTGCTTTTCAACTTGAGTTCCTATCTAATTGGTTATACAGAATATTGTAAAAGGAATTGCTTTTGACAGATCAGCAGTTTTGGCTTCTCATTTAGATGATCGGTGAATGAGAATATTTATCAGCAGAAACTTTGTAGAATTAACGAAATTGCCTATACTATCATCTAATATCTTATACCATCTTGGTAGTTCTTTATGGATACCATATGCAGTTGGTCCAATGAAAGGAATAGCATCCACCATTGATTCGCTAATTGAATATAGCACTTAGGAGTATCTTTTGGCGCAATCTATTACATATTTTATAGCTAACATTTCCTTATATTCAAAGTTAAAATGAGGGGGTTTCTCCATAAACATCTCAGCCATAATAAAACATCTTCTAAATCTGAATCATCATTTTTTCTAGATAATTCTAGATTTCTCTAATTAACCGCATTAAACTTTAAAAATAGGAAATTATGAAGATGTCTTCTAAATTCTGTGTAATTTACAACTCTCTTAGGAAATTCTTTCGTAAACCAGGCAAGGTTTTAAGAGCAACTACATATGGGTGTATGTGATGTTACTATTTGGGTAGGCCGTTGAAAATTATTTATTTTTACTTCCTCTATTATAAGATATTCATTACAAGGTTCAATGCTGCGAGTTACTTGAGCAAGAACTTAGATCTTACTGATTAATTCTGTCAAAGCTTTAGAAGGAAGTACACTACTTGAAAGTTCTATATTCCACCTGTTATAGACCTCATGCTGTTATCTAATAACTTTGATAAACCAAAGTCTGTAATGATCATTCTACCATTAATTACTAATATGTTTTTATCATAAAGATCACGGTAAACAATATTTGCACTATGCAAACAATCAATCCCATTAGAAATTTCCTTTGCCATTCTTATTTTAGTCGTTCAATCTAATTCATTCCTTAGGATTGGACGGTAAATCTATAATTTGAGCAATTCCCCATCTAATAACAAGATAATTTTCCTTCTTCTATCTGTAAAATGTCTTGCTTAATTAGTGAACTTAATGCATTTTCTGGAAGGGAAATAAAGTCTTCTGATTCAAAAGCCTTATCCAGATACTTTGCTATAATATCATTGCTCATTTTTGTAACTCTTAAGGCTTTTTATTTTGGAATCTTTTATGGTAAACGCATGAAAGATTTAAATGGAATCAATGTGCATTTTTTTAATCAACTCTGTCAATATATCTTGATTGGTAAATTTGTTATTTCAAAATTCATAAGATTAGTTCATATCCATGTATGAACTAAATAACCATCATGTTAATGGATCCGTAAGATTGGTCCTTTCTTTAAATCCCTAAATTCAGATACAAAAACTTATTTGTACTACATATTGTCATATATAGACTAGCGATTCAATGATATATAAAACTAAATAAATAATTAGTACGTATGAAATGATTTGAGGAGCATTACATAATAGTAATGGTAAATAAGTAATATGATATTGCTTTGTCCAGCAAAGCATCAAAAAGCTTAATACATATATATATATATATATATTTTTTTTTTTTTTTTTATTTTTTATTTTTTTTGAATTACACTAATCAGGTTCAAGTCTCACACAGTACTTATTTATGGTAGCTAACCTCGCCAGTACTAGGCTATATACACGAATTACAGGTCTTGACACATTTTAGAAACATCAAGAAGTTAATTAAGAAAAGTTGTTAAAAGGATTATTACACTAAAAGAACAA